GGACTTTTACTGTCCCGTCCTATCACGGTAACAGACCAGACGGAACCCCTTTTTATTTTCTATGGGCTATGGCTCCGTCAATGTTCCAAAGGAACTGTAGCCCGCAGGAATAATTTTACAGTGCAAAAGCCAAAAGGGTAGGCTGCTCCTCTGCTCATAAGGTCATAACCAAACAAGCACAGTTACAGATCCTATAATGTCTGGAGATCGGCTTCAATTAGGGCCACCCGTGCTCACACCGTCCCAACAGCCTCTTGCAACCTTACATCAGGAATATCTCCCTATGAAATAAAACACGAGTAGAGAGATATTCTCAATACAAGACTGTAAAAGTTGCTTGAATGGGCGTTGCCCTGACAGAAACCAAACTCCAATGTCAGTAGTATTTTCAGTTGTTTCGGATGTCAATAACTTATGCATTCATCAGAATTTGAATCACCTGCCAACAAAATACATTCTAACAATCTATCAAAATCATCTGAGATGGATCCCAGTCTCATAGTGAGATGTGCGGTGTTAGATCAAATTTATAAGGGGTTGGGACGTGTTTTATTGGCAGAGATCCCAACCCCAACATACAATGACCTTGTTTTTAAATCTATGATGGGTCCCGGGCTCTTAGTTGTTGCTGCCTCCCAATTTGGTCTATTATATTGTCTAACAACACTTCCTTTGTAATACAAACTACCAAGTGGCATCTCACTTGGCAGGAGTCTGGAATCCATGAGAAGTAGAATAGAAATGATCTGGGCACTTCCCTTTTCTCATGAATACACATGAAGTTACTTCTGTATATTTATACTATCATAAAAGTCAATATTTGTATAATTACTTTTCTACTATGAGAAGAATTTTCTCCACAATCCATTTAAATGAAGTTGTACAATTTGATTTTTGGACGGGACCAGATGATTCAGATTGAAAACCGACAGCCAAAAATAATTTTTGGGATGCCAAGTTTGTACTTGTTAGAAATTTTTACTATGAAAGGAAAAAGTTGCCCCTAATATATTTATATATGCATTAGTCGGTGGCAGTCCCTTTAAAATGTATTAAAAGATAATTTGGAATAATTTATTATGTCTAAAATATTTTTTATTTTTTATTTGAGCGAGTCAATCAATCCAACGGTGAATATTCATCTCCTGGTGTGATTTTATCTCAAAGCCATCTGAACACCAATATATCTAAAAATATAGATATTCTCCATCGATATAGGATAAAAAATGGACACAAGTAATCTTTTTTTTTTTAATAAAATGGGTATGATACCAGGAAAAACTTACACCCAATTAATCGGTATCATAGATTTTACCATATAAAATATATTCTAGCAAAAAAAAAAAAAAACCTAAAACCAATCAATTGGGTCATCAACCCAAAACTAATAAATAATGAAGATTTAGCTTATTCATGAGAAACATTATGAAACGATGAATAATTAGCAGAATGATTATCACATTATCAAATGTTTCTACAAGCATCCAAACAAGGCAATATCATATGAAAAGGGCTGGCGATGCCATACGACCAGCTCAGATTGGCCCCACAGAGCTCTGATTGTATCGAGTTGTTCAGTTGTATGATGACTAGGGTTACTTGACAAAACGGGCTATCAAATGCACAATGCCCACGGATTCAAGTTCCACTGATAATCGAATTATTTGCCACAATAAAAAGAAAAAAACGAATAAATAAATTTATAATTGAATCTAATTGGTGGGGGTCATATCTGGCATGACACGAGTCACCAACTACTTTTCGATAGGGAGGGAGAAGACAAAAATGCAGGAAGAAAGAAAGAGATGCTTGGGGAATTCGAATTCTTCTTCTAAGTTCTAACCAGAATAAATGAATAATCTAAAAAGAAATGAAGTATGAATTCCGGGTTAGTGGAAACAAAGACGTGTACACGGGCTATACGTCCAACCAAAAACAAACACGTCAGCGGCCCCAAGTCAGAAAATGAAAAGTGTTAACAGTGTGATTGTAGTCAATAAATCCAGCACCAATTGGGAGTCCAGCTGGGATTAGAGATAGACTATCTGAGGTGACCATTTAATACGCTAAACAAAATCTTGCCGACAGTCGGACTGTCCAGCTCCGTTTTCCTTGTGACTTCGAAACTCTAGAAGTTGCAGTTGCAGACCACAAATAAAATAAACTTAAAGAAGAAGAAGAAGCTGTACCACTAGCCGTGCAAATTACAGAAAAGAAATGCGTCGACCGGGTCCGGGTTATTCTTGGACCGCCCACTCAAATTATCTATACCCTCGAAATTAAACTTGAAAATCACCCATTTCACATGCTTTTATTGACAGATGTATATTATACATATAGAATATTAGTTTGCCACTGCCTGCACTTCATATCAAACCCAATTACATAATAAATAAATAAATCAGTTGGTCGATGAGCAAAGAGAAATTGTCTGTATAAATAAAATAGAAAAGTTAGGAAGAAATTATATATACAAGTAAATAAATGACATCCATCTTTTTGTTCTATGGTTGATCGACTCCCACTCCTACCAAAAAGAAAAAGATCGAACTCCCACACTTGAAGATAGGGTTGTTCATAAGAAGATCCAATTTAAGTTAGTCGGATTTTTTTTAGCATTGGTTGATTTTGAATTATAAAAAATCATAAATTGATGATTTGGTTCGGTTTCGGTTTTCATGTGTGAAAATCGAAAATAATTCGAACTAAATTGACTTAGTAGTTAGTTTCTAGTTAGTAGTTACAACCTATTTAGTTCCTACTTAACTAAATTGTCTTTATTCTAGTTAGTTAGGTTGTACAACAACTAAGTCATCACTAAGTAGAGAAAAACTGACCCAAACTGACCAAAACCAACTCAAATTGATCAGGTCGATTTTATTTAATACAGGGTCGATTTCGGTTTCATTTTCAGGTAACCCAATCAAGTCGAATTGGTTGAAAAAACATCAATAAACCAACCCAACCCGACCCATAAACAGTCCTACTTGAAGATTTCTTGTCACATCTACTACGTTTTCTGCACGAGGCCAGCCGATTACTTGAATCAAACTAGATGCGTAAATTCGTGGCAGACAACTGTAGATCGTAAACCATCAACAACAACAAATGCCCGATGACCTGGCCAGGACTAGTCCAAACCACAACCAGTACTGGAATACAGTAAAGGCTCGCTGAGAAGTGGGGACCGTGCAGGAAAGGCAACGTCGGTGTAGAAAAATGTTGAAGTGCGTAGTATAACATAGGACGTTTGTATAACAACTTTTGAGCAATGCTGATAAACTAAATGGTGGTGGGTTGGGATGACTCTGATACTTTGTCCATATTTGGGAGTTAAGTATCGATGCCACTCTGTAGCTTGGGCCCATTGCGGTGGCGAGGCATCTTTTATCATTCGTTAAAAGCTAAAACTGGATCTGGGAGCACAAGGACCTAATACGGTATACGAGTTTGGGCCCACATAACTTGGGATCTTACGGTGTTCAATAGGGGTGGCAATATCACAAAAAGGGAGTGAGTCGTTCGGTCCAGTGACTGAACCTGTGATTTTGGGGCTTAAATCATCTGAAATTATCATTTTTTGTATGTTATTAATATAAAACTCGAGTGTTGATCTTGACCGATTTGTTTATATATTCTTTTCTTTTCTTTTTCCTCCCCTTGGGCCAGGGTTGGAATTGGAAAGAGGGGAAGAATCTAAGCCGTCGAATGATAATTGGTGCTTCCAACCAATAAAACCTGAAAGCCAAAGGAGCATTTTGTCGGTGGAAGCATATGCTGACGTAACACTGCGATGGCCACTCACGTGTCGGCAATCGAATACGATTGCTCCTCACCAGCCTGGCGATCCTTGGAGCACGTAGCTCGAGCTGGATAGATTGCATCCCAGACCCACGCACATACCCCTTAACCATGGTTACTTTCCACCCCTAGTTTGCTAACTCAGTCACAGATCACCACCCTATTCAGCTATTCACCCTTGTAGTTTGGAGAAACTACCAAAATACCCCTCAACTTGATGCACGTGACGCGATCCTCTCTTCTACGTTGTCATCGTTAACAACGGCTCAGAGCTTCCTTTTAAATTTCACCCGCAATCAAGATCTACTAAGTTTACGATTGCATTCCATAGACTCGTAATAAGAGAAAAATCAAGAACAAAGGAAATGTGGGGGGCCCTTAATTGTGGTTGGACCCACATTTGAGGTTGGGCCCAGTCCATCTACCATACCTGTTTCATCATAATTTGAAAAGGTAAATAATAGCAATAGTTGATTGTAGTAATAAGATAACGAAATCCCTCCGTTCTCGGGAGTTGTCTTTTTTTTTTTTTAAACTGCATCAAGCGATGCTGAACCACGTGATCCGTCCTCCGGGTGGGGTAGGGTGGGGGTTTCGTGAACCAAAAACAAGGCAAAAAGGACACTTCCGTCATTACTCGTTATTGTTCCTCGTGCTGCCATTAATTACCAATGACTCCTTGTTCCTCGTTAATTAATTCTCATGTTGGATCCAGTTTTCAAGTACACCGATTATAAGGTTATAACCATCACCAGAGTCCAGAGATAACAAACTGGTCCAACCACATGTTTCCGGACAGACCCTCTGGGTTCGTTGTTTTAAAAAAATAGATTGGAATCTGGTAGAGGTTTCCAACTTCCCATACAATTCTCCTATTCAGGGCAAACGCGTGCCAGTGGGAATATCTCTCCCCGTGAGATATTCTCAATGCAAGGCTAGGGTGCTCGAACGGGCTATGCCCAGACCGAAGCCGAACTCGTCTTTACCACGACGACATCTCGTTAGTCGTTATTATATGCATATAATTACGAAAAGCACCCTGAACTTCGATTACCAAACTTTGCTTAATTACAGCTATCTTCCAAGTCCACAGAAGGTGGTCCCACTCCTGCAGACACGCTAAACAATGGTCTCACCCGTAATTCTGTCCAATTGTCTTGGTCATTTATGTCGACGCCCACTCTAGATCTCCACTACTTACTGTCTTCCACTCTCTCCACTGTCTCGTCTCTGTTGTAGAGTGTAGGCCTAGTAGAGAGCTCCCACGCAGAGCGAAGCCAACCCGTCCTCCCCCTACTGCCCAAGTATCTCTCTGAAAATATGCAGCTCTTTCCGGCGACTACCGGGACGGTCCTCTCTCTCTTCCTCCTCTTCCTCTTGTCCTGCACCACCGGTGCGCACAATATCACGCGTATCCTAGCAAAACACCCCGAATTCTCGACCTTCAACCACTACCTCACTGTCACTCACCTTGCCGCCGAGATCAACCGCCGTGAGACCATCACTGTCTGCGCGGTCGACAATGCTGGAATGTCAGAGCTCCTGTCGAAGCACCTCTCCATCTACGCCATCAAGAACGTCCTCTCCCTCCACATCCTCCTAGACTACTTCGGCGCCAAGAAGCTCCACCAAATCACCAATGGTACGGCCTTGGCCGCCACCATGTTCCAAGCTACAGGTTCCGCTCCCGGATCGACCGGCTTCGTCAATATCACCGATCTCAAGGGCGGCAAGGTCGGCTTTGGCGCCGAGGCCAACGACGGCAAAATCGATTCCACCTTCGTCAAGTCCATCCAGGAGATTCCCTACAACATCTCCATCATTCAGATCAGCAAGATCCTGCCGTCCAGCGAGGCCGAAGCCCCCACTCCGGGCCCCAGCGAGTTGAATCTCACGTCCTTGATGTCCAAGAAAGGCTGCAAGGTCTTCGCCGACACATTAGCGGCTTCCGGAGCCGGGCAAACCTTCTACGATAACGTCGACGGAGGGCTAACAGTGTTCTGTCCCACCGACGATGTTTTCAAGAACTTCTTGCCAAAGTATAAGAACTTGACAAAGGAAGGGAAGGCAGCGTTACTTCTGTTCCACGGCGTCCCCGTCTATAACTCCATGCCGATGCTGAAGTCCAACAATGGACTTATGAACACGTTAGCTACGGACGGAGCCAACAAATACGACTTCACAGTGCAGAACGATGGGGAGGACGTTACTTTGAAGACGAAGATCGTGACGGCCAAGATAACGGGGACGTTACTGGACGAGCAGCCCCTAGCGGTTTACACCATTGACAAGGTCTTGTTGCCCAAAGAGTTATTCAAGGCTGCACTGACGCCGGCACCAGCGCCCGCACCCGAAGCGGAGTCGCCCAAGGCATCGAAGAAGAAGACCAAGCACCATGCGGCGTCTCCGCCGGAGCCATTGTCACCGGATGGGGAACCTGCTGATCAGGTGGCCGCTGATCAGAATGCCGGAGTCAGATTTGACGGTGGGAGATTGGTTGCAGCAGCTTTGAGTGTGGGGTTATTAGGACTGTTGTTGCTGCTGTAGGACTGTATTGTCATTTGTGTGGATTTTTTTTCCTGCCTTTCATTTTTGTTTTCGTTTTTTTCCTTACAAATAAGCGATGATGCCCTTACGAGGTGTTCGTTTTTTTATTTATTTTTGTTTATCATTGTTTGTATCTATCGTCTTCTAGTGTGTGGTTGATTTTTTTTTTGTCTTCTTTTATTTATTACATTTTTAATTTTTATACGAATGTGAATAATAAATTACAAAAATATCCTCTTATTGTACTTTATTACCTAATTACTTTACCTCCCACTCCTCTCTGGTCTCTAGACTCTCTCTACCATGAGTGATGAGTCCCATGACCTAACCTCAGTAGTAGCTTCGGGGTCCGTGAACGGAAAGTTGGTTGTGGAATGCTAGGCAGCTGGTTTTACTTTTACCTCCGTTCGCGGGCCGGCCCCACCGGTCTGCAGTGTCGGCGAGCGAGGATATATAATGGCGGCATTTACTTCGCTGTGTAAATGGGTTGAATTCCAGTCTCTATGAAACTTGAATCTTTATCCCACCTCTGAAAAAGTGAAAAGCGAAGGGGTGTAATCATTCGACCGTGCTGTGCTGTGCTGTCTGATTATGGGAAGGTGCCAAGTGCCAACTGACTCAGCTGCTGGTTATAACTTATAAGGTCTCTGGCTGGTTTAGCGAAAAGATCGAAATGGGCTACGGCTACCCCCTTCTGTAGCCCCCATGGATGGAACCCAATAAAGAAAGGGGTATGGTGGTGAATTGGTGATTATGGAGTTGTGCGGTGTTTGGGTTTGGTTTGGTTCTTCAAGAATGCTTTATTTTATGGGCCGATAAGACAGGCCTGGTTGTTGACCAGGATTGGCTGATTGATAGGAGATATATATTGAATAACCATAACCACGATTGGCTGAGTTGAGTAATTCAAGTGTTTGGTCTCTAAAGCAAAGCTGTTTGCTTTTTAGGGTTTTTGTTTGTTTGAGACGTTTTTCCTTTTTCTAATTAGTCACTTCCTATTATCGTATAGTGTCTGTCTAAGAGAGAGAGAGAGAGAGGGAACGTTACGCTAGTTGCTTTCTCATAAATGCACCGTTGTTCTGGACTTCTGGCCCAAGCGCACTTTTCCCCGGATCCTGGTCATTGCCTCCTTGGGGATGACAATTGGCGAGCCCGGTCTGAGTCTGTCTGGGGATCATCATCCCTCCCCCTAATTCTGATCTGGCCTGCAACTGCAACCATTCTACAATTATTTTATATTTTCGCATACAATTAGATAGCAGCAGAAATTTGAGTAGTCCAACAAACCCAAGATAATTACAAGGTAGTATAGACATATACAATAATACAACAAAACCGAAAGGGTTGAACGTGTGGTGTGGGGACGAATCCATTTTGATGGGTTGCGGAATCTAGATATTCTTAGCTGTAAGATGATCCCAATTCTAGTTGTTTCGTGAATTGGATCATAGTAAATCAAAGAATACGGAGTGATTAATCCGACAAGGTCATTTTGATGCTTAAGTCAGTATTATATTGTGGATACGAGTTGAATGCTTAAATGCTAGTGATAAATAATTATACATACCTTTGCCTTGGGGTTTCATATCCTTATATAATGGAGTAGTCGTGGGCCTTACAAAAGAGTTTCAGGATCTCTGGGCTGTGTGGATAAGATCTGTTCTGTTTTTGAAGGAGAGCAATGTGTTAATAAGGTTTATCGTTTAACTTCGATTCAGAAGGAGCTAGGATGAGTCTCGTCGTGATACCGAGAAATTCGGGGTCCGTTGGAGAGGCCTTTGGAGTCGATTACATGGCATTTCGGCTCTTTAGCTCCGAACTGGCACTTCGGTTCTTTAGTCCCGAACTAGATTGGGTGTCGAGGTGTCTCTGCATCGAGGCGGTTGAATACCCAAGTTCCGAATGTTGCGAGCTGGGTTCGTTTGGCAAAGTTGTCACCCCTCGAGCAGATCGCATCTACGTATCCCCTTCTTACTAGGTCATGCCAAATCACCCTTCATCAATTGCCCCCCACTCCTTGTGCCAAGGGTCCTGACCCGGTGTGGGGAGTTCATGACGAGTCCAGGTGGATTTTGCACACAAAGTCTAGGCAACTTGGAGGGCGAACCATTGGTCGGACCTGTTCAATCATCTAGCTCAACCATGAAATGACCCAGATCGCGTCTCGGTCACGCGCGGACGTCACAGTGTTTATAAATTCCGCGGACGCCAAAGGGCGCGCTCAACCGATTTTGTCCTCGGGTAGCGTGCAACCGATTTTCATGGGAGCCATTGGATCACACAGATCCCAGTCGTTGATTACCAGATGTGGTGGACTATAAATAAGGGGCCGAAGGGCCCATTATCCTCGCCATAAATCGTGTAACTAATCTTTCCTGAGATCGCATCAGAGTCCTTCAGCTCGCCATTCTCTCCCTTGTGTTCGAGGTTGTTATCGTCTTCTTTGGTGAATTCGTCTTCTTTCACTAGTTGTTCCCTTTTCCTGTCCAATATGTCTAGTGCTAGCATAGATAGGTTACTTAGTGATTCTAGCGAGCCCGGGGGTGTCGAGGTGCGGTCCTCAGCTCCCATTGGTGAGGCCAGCTCTTCGCTAGAGAACTCCTCTTTAAACTTTTTAGGAGAAATGCCTTTACGTGACGTCGGGCCATCCCGTTTTGAGGAACCTGAACCTCAGGTAGAACGGCCGACCTCCGGAGAAGGGGTCTCGTTTTCTAATTGAGGTCGGGATCCAGACAACTTCAGCCCTTCCACGATGACTTCGAACAGGTTGTTGCCCTTAATAGCTCATTACCGTCTCTCCGACACTCTTGTCTTCAGCATTCCTTTGGGTTAGTACCCTTGGGTTGACGATCATTACAAACTCACGATTTTTTAGGAGCAACTCGTAGTTGGGCTGTGCTTCCCACTCCACCCCTTCATCGTAGAAATCATTAAGTTCTTTAACATCACTATTGTCCAGCTCCACCCGAACACCATCCGTACCATTGTTGGTACAATCTCACTCTTCCACGAGTATAACCGACCTTTTACCCTAGACATCTTTAGCTCGATTTATTCCATTAAGAAGAAATCTTCTTGCTTGCACGGGAACACCCGATAGAGCTACTATATCTCACCTCGCCTCGGGTTCAAGGTCCTGTTCGGTAACCTGAACAAGGTATCGCCCTAGAAGAGGAGGAACTTCTTTGTTCGGAACCCTGAAGGATGGTCATTCCCGACTCACTGGCAGTGGCCATTAAGGACCCCGGGGTGATGCTGGATGCAGAGACTAGGGCGGTCATCCACTCTTGGAGGGACCTCGGCCTTGAGATGGAAGATTTCCTGGCCGAGGAGAAACTTGTATGAGTTGGGCTAAGTCATCCTGGTAAGCCTCCACCTCGGCGCATACATTACTTCTCCTTTTTCCTTTTCGCACTTACTTCAGTTCGCAACTAACTCTTTTTCTTCTCTCTTGTAGAAGCTATGACGGGTGTTGACGTCGCTAACCTTTTAAGGAGTGTCCAGAAGGGGAAGAAGAAAAGGCCTCGAAGAGGTCCCGTCGAGAGGAGGTCACCTCTTCGGTTCTTGCCGAACCCAAGGTCGCAATGCCAGAGCCACCTTCTGTCGAGCTCCCAGGGGAGGAGGTTCGCCCCCAACCTCCAGTTGTTGACTTGTACTTCGGTGCCTCAGCCTCAGCCACCCTCAGCAAAGGAGAGCATAATGACTCCGAGGCTCGGGCTTCTTAAGTGCAAAGATGTCGTGTTTCCTACGGAGGTCGCGGAGTGGGCTGACATGCCAACAAGTCAGTTCGGAGGGAGGGCAGCCAGCTATTGTATGGTGGTAAGCAACATGCCCCTTCGTTTACTTTCTTATTCTTCTGTCAATGATACTTACACTTGCTTTCTATTTTTTAGGTGAACTCCACTATCCACTCGCTAGTCTACCAATCTGAGATCCGCTTGAAGCGAGCTTGGAAGGCCGAAGAGAATGCTCGGAAGCTTTACCATGAGCTGGATTTAACTCAAGGTGAAGTTCTTAGAGCCAAGAAGGAAGCTCGGACCCAGGAGGAGCTGATCCTAGTGTTAACGGAGGAGAAGAAGAAGCTCAATGGGGAGAAGGAAGCTCTCTTCCAGGAGAATGAAAACCTTGAGGTGATGATCAAGGAGCGCACCGAAATCTATGACAGCGCCATTCAGGAGGCGAGGATTCAGGAAAGAGATCACGCCTTCAAGGAGTTCAAGGAGTCCCTGAGTTTCACGACCTCCAGGTTGAGTATGGCTCTGGCTTGTACCGATCGGGCTTCAAGCTCTACAGGTGGTTGATGCGGTAGAAGTTCCCTGAGCTCGATTTCGGATCCATCTCCATGTCTGCCGTTACTCCGGAGATGGAAAAGGAGGCTGACGAGGAACTTGACTCCTCTGAGGGAGAAAGCGATGATGAACTTCTCGATGTGAGACCGTCAAGGGAGGCAGGTCAAGATGACATGGAGGAGGACCACATGGAGACCAACCTACCTGCTGGAGGAGATTCTGGCATATCTGATGTTTAAACATGCTTATTTTCTTGGACCCCTCCATATAGTGTATATCCCGGGCCTCCAAGCCCGGTTATAGTAACCATGTATTCGGAACCTTTTTGTTAATGAAATATAATGATTCAAAAAGTCTTGTATGTGCAAAAATATTTCTAAGTAAAAAAAGTTTCTAAATGTTGGTTATCCCGAAGTGCCAAACTAGCAAGCTAGGCTCCAGGTGGGATTAACCTTATGTTGTTGTACGTCGAGGTGGATAGACACTGTAGGGTATATACCCGACCTGTCTATGCACGGGCCACTTAGAGGCGATTGGTTATCCCGAAGTGCCAGACTAGCGATGTGGACTCCAGGTAGAAACAACCTTGTGTTTGTTGTACGCCGAGGTGGATAGACACTGTAGGGTATATACCCGACATGTCTATGCACGGGCTACTTACTTGCCCAAGCCGAGGAGGCGATTGGGGATCATTACGCCTATGCCGAGGAGGTGACTAGGACTTATCTGCCTATGCTGAAGAGGCGACTAGGACTTGTCTGCCTATGCCGAAGAGGCGACTACGACTTATTGTAATGCCAAGGTCTTTTTGTCAGCTCAGCACCGTAGCCCTTAGGCTTTTGGGAGTGACTCACAGTCCTCTCTCCAATCGGTCATCTTTTTTTA